GCAAAACTCTCCGCCACCGTCGTAACCATTACGCTGCAGTGCGGCACCGACTGATCTTCCGGCCATGTCATGTCTACAGCGTGTGCAACTGTGGGGCCCTCAACACAATACGCACCGGGAAAGGCGGCTCAGGGTATCAAATTATGCCACTGCAGTGCCTCTGACCTAGGGTTCCATTCCTGACGGAGGCAATATTTTCGACACTACCTTCATAGCTGGGTCGAGTTCAGTCGCTGTCTGTAGAAGAATTCTAGCGGCCGGCTCCTCTGATTTTTCTGTTTTCAAAATATTTTATTTTTTAAAGCAGTTGATAAATTAATATTTTTCGTATAAATATGCATCCTGTCTATTCTCTGGGAACAATAATATTCTGCTAATTCGTGTTTTATAATTTGGCGTTTGACGGGTTTCTGAAATAAACGATTCAATTTTGTCTGAGCATCCCAGAGACGCCGTTTCGATTTGTTCTGTGTTCTATTGCAATAATGTTTGAGGCACTTCTTCACGTGTTATTTTTCCACCATACTTTCAGACTCGATCAAGGGATATTGCACGTTATGAAATATTCTGTCATTTTCCTTCTTCTGTTCCGGATTCGTTCTTTTCTTCCGCTTGCGGTTTGCCCAATCTTGTGCATTCTTCCTACCCTCGAATGCCTGCTTGAACCACATCTTCCAAAGTTCGTCTCTACCGCCAATTTCGTCTCTGCCACTAACGTTCTTACCATTATTTCTGCGTCGGTGCCATCCATTGCGATCTTACTTTCAGTTGGCTCTAACATCTTACTTGTTCTTCACAAGCTCTATTTCCACTAAACTTTCAGACTCGATAAAGGTATATTGTGCGGTAAGAAAAAAATTGCAATTATTTTTCATCTCTTCTGCCTTTCTTTATTTCTTCTTTCTTCCGGTTGTCGTTAGCACTGTCTTGTGTATTCCTTCTGCCTTCCAAAGCAAGTTTCAATCGCATTTTTCACTCGCCACCATCATCTAAAGTTTCTGTCTGCTTCATCATCCCCGACATTGGTCTATGCCTTAAAGAATATTAAAGAAGAGCCAAACCTCGCCCAATATGGCAATTTTCGTTGAACAATTTGGAGTCGTTTTTAAGAAATGGCATTTAAGCGTCACGCAGCATAAGCGAAATTTGAAGCTCATTTTTACAGAAAACGTTTTAGTTTTCGAAAAACTTCATTTAAAGCACTGTATCTCACTAATGTAAACATATTTACAAATCGCTGGAATTGTGCGTATTAACGGAGTGAAAGATATTTAAAAAAATCATTTAAAAAAACACCAACAAACGATTCATCAAAGCCAAGACCAAAATAATTCTTGTCATTTTATACAGTGCATTTCGTACTATCCGTACGAAACGCATGAGAAAAAATGGAGCCGTTTTTGAAAAAATGGCATTTGAGCGTTTATGAAAATGCGGAATTTTGAGCTCATTTTCTTAGAACGTTTGAGTTTTCTGTTGCATGCAATCGTTGCTTGCTATATTGCGCGAAAACGACTAAAATTCGTTTTCAAAAACGTACATTTTCAAAAATGTACATTACCTTAATGAAAAAACTAACAACGTAGAAATAATATTACTTGAAGAAAAAATCTCCATCTTCAATTTTGTAATGGTAGGAATAAGCCGAAAAAGCAAACTTTTGAAGATTTCGAGAACTCTGAGTTAATAGTGAGAAATGGACCTTTGCCATCTTTGAATGTTTTTTACTTTCTTGTATACGTACGTATATACGGAGTAATATACATAGTATATGGCAAGTTATTGTGATGCTGCATAAAATCGATTTCGAGATTTGAATGGAAATACACGTTTTATGGTCCCCTGATACCGAAAAAAGTGCTGTTTTTTCAAAACATTCCTCTATTTGTGAACACCACTACCGCCTAAACCCTATGTACGATTTTTTTTTCCAAAACCGATATTCCCCGGTCGATCTGGCATGACTAAAGGCGCTGCGATTTTGAAAAAGAATTGGAGGTACTTTACATGAAACCCAAGGTATAGTTTCAATTTTTTTTAAAAGAGGCTCCCCATTCTTTCTTTAAATGTTTTGAAAGAATAGAGTAAAATACACTTAAAAGGTGGCATAGGTTCGATTCCCACTGTTAACTGTGAATTTTTGAAAATTGCAAATTTTTGAATTTTCCCCCCGTCTTTCTACATCAAAAAAATTGAAAATAAAGTTTTTCCTTTCAAATTAAATTTGCTCTCCATAGTTAGTTCTTTCTATGGTCGCATTTTTTTCAAAATTTTAGTAGTTTATGCAAACTATGCATTATGAGCAATATCAAAAACTAATTACAACAAGATTTTCTCAAAAACTGCTCCAATTTTTTTCTTTAAACTTCTGGTAGATGTAGTGATAAATATACTCTATAAGATGACACAAACGCCATATTGCTCTGCGCCGTCTTTTTTTTTATTTACAAAAATGTATTGTTCTTTACTTGTCTCTCACGTTGGTAATATTTACATTAGCGGCGATTTGTTTACATTATTAATTTATATGTACGTGTGCTATAAATAATGTTATATACAGTTTTTCCGAAACTGAAATGCCTGAGAAAATGAGCTCCAAATTTCACATTTTCAGAAACACTCAAACGAAATTTTCTCAAAAATTACTCCAAAATTTTCTTTGAACACTCTCTAGCAGATAGTGCTAATTGCATGGTTTAATACAACAAAGTTCATTTTACGGTATTCTTTTACTTTTTTAAATATACAAATCTATTTTATTTTTTAAAAACTCTTTCACGCCTTTAGTATGCACATTTCCTGCGATTTGTATACATTATTGCATTTGTGAATAGGGCACCGAAAGATTCAGGAAATGTAAAAAAAATGTAGTTTGGGCGGCGATAGAAGCTGGCAAGAGTGTGGCAAAGCCGAAAAGCTAGATCAAACTAAAGAAAGTAGAAAACTAAGTAGTATGAGAAAGTCTACCATTCTGTAGCACCGCTAGTTTACTATTCTTTCAAAAAATTTAAAGGAAAAATTTGGCAATTTTTGAGAACATTTTAAAAATGTTCCAGGGTATTAATGTAATAGTCTTGAATTTTAAAGAATGTTAATTTACAATATCTCAGTAATCAATTAGTATTTTGGTACGTCTCCGTATGGATAACATAAAACATTTATGTGAAAGAATGGTCATTCATTTTCAAGTAAAATTCCTATTGCTGCATAAAAACTGGTGGTGCTGAAGCTGTACATACTTTTGCGCCTTTAGTGTTAGTAATGCAATACTATTTATACCACAATTTCTCTACGAATTAACACATGTCATCCTTTTTTGTAAAACTCGCCACAAATCGTAGAACATTTCGTGCAAAAACGAAATATTATCAAGAAAATATCAACACAAATTTGATAATTATCACTGCTTTTCATACAGGTAAATCATGTCCCAACTATAAGACGTAATTCAGCTCCCGAATTATTGTAGTCGAGCCATTTTTGCTTTCCAATTATATTCCCTGAAGGTAAGCAATTTTTATTTCATATATTTCAAATAAGTTTCAAATAATTTCTAAAAGATGTATATGAAAAGTTCGAATGTAAGAAACGAACAAAGAAATATGAAATAATATTCAAATTCTAACTTACGATGCATCCAACTGCCTGAAATTCAGTTCACGAAGCGCAGTACTCATATTAAAAAAAAATTAAATACTCATATTTAAGATTTAAAAAAACAATGAAAAAACAGACTGTCGTGACAAAAAAAGCATGTGGACACGCATTGGCATCATCTCTTCATATTCAGTGGTGCACAGTGGCGCCATCTCGGAGTTGAGCCTTGACTCTCCACTTTATTATAACGGTGATGCTACTTTGTTTTCCTACTCAAGTCTGACGCAAATTGTACAGTTTTGATTTTAAGTTCAAATAAAACCAGGAAACGAATCGGATGGTGCAGTGTTTTTCTATACGTTTGGCAATTCAAAAACAATCAAGGATACATCTCAGATCTTATTTGAAGATCTGTTTTTAATGAACACATTTCATTTAAAACAAATTATCTTCACTATTGTAGTTGAAGGATGAGGCCAAAAGTTTTAATTTTTTTTTTTTTTTTGAATTATGGAAAAATCAGGCATTTCAACCAACATGACTGCACCATACTCTGCAACATCCTTTACTTTATCTAAGGTCTTATTGTAATCAAATGTTTGTGCTGTTTTTAAGAAAAAAGTTTAAAGAAAATAAAAAATGCGTTTCACACAAATATTCGCAAAAAAATCTCGTATTTGAAAAAATGAACATCTTTTTAGACGTTTCTCATGAACAGATTACATTAAGGGGAAAAAATATTTATGTTCATGATAGATGTGGAAAGACGCCGAAAAAATTATGATTTTTTGCAATTTTGCGAAAACGATGGACCAATGTTTTTGATAATTATGAAAATGTCCGAGGGACTTCATGCAAAGTACCCCTTAGAATTAAATATAGATTTCAAATTCAAGGGGCCGCGACATCAGCCTGATCGGGAAATAATTTTTGAGGAAATCGGCTGAACGGTTGAGCCGTAAACGGCCTTGTTCACAGACGAACGGATGAACTATTTGCTGTCAATCGACTTTTCGGTATCAAGAATCCACACAACATGGATTTTAATTACATTATGTTAGAGATTTTTTTTGTAAATTTAGTAACTGGATTTATCCAATTTTTTGTTTTCTAGGTTCTATAAAAAAGTTTTTCTGCCGAACATTTGCCGTTTTTTTTCGGGCAGATTTTCATATCATCCATGGGTTTGTTTATGTATGTGTATGTGTGTGTCTTTATAAAACCATAATTCAATTTTAATACCTTTCTCAGGAAAAGTGTCCTACATACCATGTTAATGTAACAACACTATAATAATATATTATTATCCCATTTTAAAACCAACTTCTGAATGTTAGGAAATTTCTTATCTCGTTTCCTCTTAACAGCCTTGAATGCTCTGGTTAAATCTGAATAAAGCACAATTAAAGATATATTAAACTCTTTATTAATTATTCCCAACTTATATGCATTATAGTCATAACTTTCTGATATACTAAATCTTTTCATAAAAAAGTAACAATAAAAAGGAACAACACATTATTTTAATGTTATATGGAATGTGAACACATTCAATTAAATGAAAAAGCAAATACTTTTGGATTACATTTAACAAAATGATTTTCAAAATACTTAAAAAATAATATATATCAATAAAAATCAAAATATAAAACATACTTAATGAACTATTTTACTCTGAATCCTTCATTCATTCAGTGCTTGGCAGTTTTATTTACTTTTTGAAGAACAAAACACATTTTGGACTGAAGAAAATTGATTTCATTTCTCTTATACAGTAGAACTCCATTTATCAGAATTCAAATGAGATCACACTGATTTAGAAATGAGAAAATTCTGATGCTCAGAAATTAAGTAAAACAGAAGATACAGAAAACTTTACATGTGTAGAAAAGAAACCACAAATGGAGGCTCATTACACACAATATAATAAAATTACATACACATAAGATATTTATGTACCCAGCCAATTAACATCACTATTATATACCCATATATGTTCCAATTTGGAAATTTATTTGTCTTTTTTTCTTCTCCTAAAATCAATTAGCATAAATGGAATTCTACAGTATTCCTTTTTGCAAAAATGAAATACTTTCAGACTCAATATTCTATAATTTAAAAGAATGGATTATCAATATTTAGAATTCCTTCAACAGGCATAACCTGGACTTCAGTTGGTTTGTATCACAACCATCTAATACACAACAAGGCACAATGGAAGCTAAAAGGAAAATCATAATTTTAACAAATACTAGAGACAATACATGACACTAGGTGATAGACACTTGAAGTTAGCAACCCTAGTTGCCCGACCTGTCATATAACCACTGTGATATCAAGTACAAAGGGTAATAAGGTTGAAAGATTTTTAGTTTACTTATGTTTTGCAGAGTGATTCAAAATTTATCACACATGTATTGAAATTTGAATTAATCACCAATTTTCGAGGTCAGGTCACTAGGTTTGCTAGAGAGCAGTTGTCTCCCATTAAAAGTATAAGAAGAGTTCAAAGTATCTGGTGTTGTCTACATAGTATTTAATTTAAGTCTGAAAATTGTGGGGGATATAACTGATGAAACATTTTTATGAGAAAAAAATGCCATCTTGAAATCACTCAGACACTACATTACTTTTAATACATAGTAACAAAAGTTTTGGAAGAGAAAAGGAACAAAACACTTTCTTATTCATCTCTCAGCGAAACACGAAGAAGCATTCAATATTTCTGATTCGTATGTCATAGACACCAGCAAACCATTAGATAAGTTAAATAAAAATTTTTATAAAAATAGAAAACCTACATTACAAGGCCAAGGCACATTTGGCTCTCCAAGGCTGTATTTTAATATTTATTTTAAACTGAAAGAACAAGAAAATGATAATTGCTCATTTTTTTAATAAGATTATTGTGAGGCTTGTACATAACAAATCAGAGTATCAATGCTAAATTCTTCACTTGTTCGGGCACTTTGACAGGAGATTACAATGGAAATATTAGACATACAAGTTTTAATACTTATGTCTTTGTATCACCTCCATATGTTTATTAAACTATAGAATTCTACCTACTTACAAAATAACTCTTGAAAATATTGATAAATCTCAAACAAGTCTCTTATTAGCAGCAAGAACATGGTAAAAAATACACATTTCTATCAGCAAAACAAGAAATTGAAATTGAAGGTATACATATACATGACATTTTATACTCACAAAACATTTCCATACAATATGAGTAATAATAGTCATCAAAACAATATAATTAATAATTATTATATCATTAATAATAATATTAATGGAAGAACAAATTAGAGGTAACCAAGTACAAAACATTTTTGTGATGCTTGGTACAATTAAATAGTCATACATCACTAATGGTGATGCGAAGACGCTACTATTTACTTACCAAAGACATCAAGGCACAGCTTTTTACAACAGTTACTAAAATCTTAAAAAAAGAATTTTTTTCTCAACAAGAATACTTCTCAATCTTGCTTGAAAATATATTATTTTATACTTTCCTATCCTTTGGCAAAGTTACCTTGAAATGTTATAAAACTACTTTTTACAAAGACATAACTCTTCAAAATATTTAATGTGTTGGCAGAGATAATTATAAATAGGGAACAGAATTTTTAATATCTTTTTTGATAATAAGAAAAGCAAATTTATAAATGCATTATGTATGTATTTCTTTTTCAAAAACATATAAGAAAAAATAGAAAATATGTAAAATAAAAATGCATGAAAGTGTTTCAAATCAATAGCATTTTAAAACTTTAAAACAAGTAACTTGTTTAGGCCTCAAAATGGATTGTAGCAGATCAACGAAGTTCTACATCTACGGAAGTAATTGGACACCAGTCTACACCATCCAAAGCAATATTTATATGAAATATGTATAAAAAAAAGTGTAGTTTATACAATTAAATTGATGGGAAAAAAGTGCTCTTGTGATCAGTGTAGCATGTCTACCAGTGAAGTATTTCGTGGAGGGAGGTGGTTTGGCAAAGGGGGCCACTAATTTGTAAAGTAGTGTTTTTTTGCAATTGAATTAAACTTAATGAAAATAATAACTACAAATTGATAGCAACACTTTCCAAGAGAGAATTCTAGTTCTAGTTGATGCAAATTTAATGAATAGGTTCTGATTTCCGATACATGAGCAGGAAGTAAGAAATGTTTTTCAGAATTCATTCAAGTTTTAAACACAAGCACGCATATGCTTGTGATTACAACTTCTACTTTGTTCTTCAACCTGTTCATTTTTGACTTCAAGTATGCGATTTCTGAGAAGCTGTGAGGGAGGGAAAAGAGGGCAGGTTTGGCAATTTGCGGTGGACTTGGAGGTCATAAAACCACAGTATATTATTGCTTTGTTGCATAGAAAGATAATTCCAGGAACATTGGACAAACTTGTACCTGACATGCTCTGAATTGGCTTGTAGATATATTAAAATGTAATAAAATATGTAATAATGGGTAAAAAATATTATTATACCAACATATAAAAAATAAAAATGATTTTTAATTCATTCAAAATGTCTTGCAAACTGTAAAAAATTAATGTGAGTAAATTCTACCTGTAAAAATCTGTATTTACATTCACATTTGTTCCCTAATTATAAATATCCTTTACAGTATTTCTTTGAATATAAAGCACTTTTTTGTGTTGTTTTTTAACATTTGAACATTAATATAATCTTGTATCTGGTATATGTATAAAGTAGAATTATCAGTGTACTTTAGAATTGAATACTGGCTCATAATAATTAACAAGAGTTTTCTTACCATTCATTCATATCATTATTGAACGTAATAATAACGATCAATAATAACAACGAACTTCCAATTATTAGATATAAAGTGTGGGGAAAAATCCATAGTGACATCTTTACAACAAAATATTTAGTAACAGTGAATGAACTTGTGAAGATTCATAAACCAAATAAAATAAAAGAATAATTCCGACTTAAAAAGATGCATCAATAATTGGGATGTGCCTTAGATTTGATGAAAAGGATTAAATGTCAGATTAATATTTTTAATCAATGTTTGCCCCCTTATCTTTTATGGCATAGCAAACAATTAATAATAAAAATATCAACAATATACATAATATATATTAAAAACATTTTCTAAAATGAAACAAAAATGTGATGTTCAATGACATTCCAGTCATCAGATCAAGACTCAAATTCAGATGTACAAAAATATGGATCAAAGTTTAAGAACCATTCATTAGGTTTTGAAAACCACAATAACTAAATTATAACTGAAAGATGTAGCATCCGTAGTTGTGATTACTGGTTGAGCAACGATTGCTCTTAAGACAAGCAATTTAAATGTATTTTAAGATAGCGTAAATAACATTTTTCTATGCTTTTGACACAAAACACTGAAAACAGGTGATGAATCACAAATAAACAACTTATTTATATTGATTTCTAAACACTTTTCAACATGTATCACAATAATGTTTTGTGTAAATTCAACAGACACACAACAAAAGCTCATGATGAACACAGTCAATCAAAAACCACAACATTAAACACTTTTACATTATAGTAATCCTGGTATTATCTACAACCTATTTGAATTACACTTCATTCATGCAGGCTTGTTAACACCATAATTTTTTAACAATTTTGGAGAGAAAACGTCAGGCTAATATAAACCATTGTTAATCAATGCATCAATTGAAGTTGAAAAGTACCCTTTTAAATTAATGACCTTTTCACAATTTCATCAAACTCATTTCCTTTAACTTTGCATACACATTTTTGGTAACTGAAGAAACCCCCAAGATTTCCTTTCATATTATCATAAATGCCATCAGACATAGATAGCTATTCAAGATTGAAAATTCATAATCATTTTGTCAAAGAAGGAAAAACAAATACCTCAATTTGGAGATATGATTAACATCCTACTTTATAAAATTAAGATTAATAGATTTCTTTAAGAATAAATACAAGTAATCAGTGCCACATACAATTTTTTCACTAATTCGTTATTTATGAATATTTGCTAAATTTGTAAGGCAATAGTTTGTTTGTTCATTTAAAATATTGCAAACAAAATTTGTTTAAGCACTTGGGAAGCATAAGAGAAATAGATATATAAAAGGAAGAGTTTTGAAAGTGACGAGCATAAAGGACAAAAAAAATGTTTGAAGAAAAATATGAAAAAAAATTTCACTTGTGTACATAAAGGCAAGATAAACAGACCGACCTTCACACACATTAAATTTAATACACGACTGAAAAGTAAAATGAGACACTGTGTGAAGTACTGCAAGGAAAAAGCTGGTAGGAACAATCATTTCAATGAAAGTTATTAAGAATGAGGTACTTATTAATTTAATCTTAAAGAGGAGAAATGAATCAATATACTTAAAAAACAAAAAATAGATTATTCGTTTTTAGTGTTTTTATATTCCTTGTAATTTTTTCTTGGTAGAATGAAGTCAATCTGCTTCAAATGTTTTTGTTACTTCTTGTGTAGTTCTAACAATGTGTTTTATAGTTTTTTCCTATAGTGCTCTCCAAGCAAAACTGACATACTGCAAATATGTTATAGGCTATCCTTAAGAAGAAATTGCAACAATTTAAAAGAAATAAAGTCATTCCCCCCCCCCATAAAATATGATCTGATGTCAATCACAAATCATCTTTGCCTTAGTGGTCTTGACAGTTGATGCAAGTAAAAAAGAACAAGTCACACAGGATATAATTATTTGCACAAGAACATTTTATGAAAATAAGTATTGGAAGCTATGAAGCCTGTATTTGGAGACCATGCATATCCTGAACTTCTTATGAGTCTACATAAGAAAATAAACCAGTATTGAGGAACCCTGATTTCCTGACAATGTGGAAGGTATGTAGCTCTGCACTTAACATCACAAAGACAGACAGCAAAGGTCAACAAAAGGAAGCAAGAATACTTTCAGTATTCACATGAAACAGTATATGAAGCCGGCAAACACTAAAAACAAAAGCTTATTCTTACCAGCAATTTGAAATTTGAAATTCAATTTCTTCAAACTTTTTTTCATTTTAGGTACCATTTTTCTCCAGAATAGTACAATGTATCAATACAAATGTTCAACATTTTTCTTTATATTATCCAAAACTCGATAGGTACTTAGATGTAAAGTTTTATAAGTTTATATACTTTACTATCTCACAATTTGTCTTCTAAAATGTGAAAAAATTGAACTATTCACCATTTATAAAATTAAGTAATTTTCTGAACTATCAAAACTTTTAAAATTGTACTTGATTGTAACAAAGGATGCTAACTACCATCAGTAAAAAATTCAGTGCTCTATCTTATACAGTTTTTTTGTTGTAGTAAATATTACCTTAAAGTACTAAAAATTAGCATTGCCAGCACAGATAAATAGGCTGACTAGCGTCTCCCCTTAAGCACCACAATGAAATGCCACACTAGTCACCCAGGAGACTACACATACACAATTCTGTACACTGCCAATTTGCAAAATACCATAACATGGGCAAATTCGTTGCCATGCTAATTCAAGTGAAATTTATAGCACTCTGAGACAACTAAATGCATTTCAAATGGCAATAGAAAATTCTAATTAAGTGGGAACACTTTCAAAATCTCCCAGTGAGATCAAAAGCACATAACATGTATCATCATAAAATACAAAGTTTTAGGACCTGTCATATCTGTGGCTATGAATCTCGGAAAATAATTATTGTACAGTAAATTTTGTTTTACTCTCCTACACTGCTCAATTTCCAAATTCTAACAGAAATGTTTGTTCCCAATATCAAGATTCAAAGGTACAGAATAAGAGAATAGAAAATATGAATATCAATACTGCAAGAAAAAATAGTGGAAAAAGTAGCTGACAGTGACTTGAGTTTTATTTCTGTATTTGGAGGGGAATGAAAATACGAGAGTAGAGTTCTGATAAAAGTTGAAAAATGTTACCCTAGATACTTAAAATGCAAAGTAGATTCTAATATACCTCACCACACATCACTAACATTAAAAATTATAATGTACAGTTAGTCTATTACTTTATGCACTCAACCCTGATACTTCTACTGCACTCTGAAGGAAATAGTACAATAATACAAAAATAAAATCATCTGAATAAACTTAACATAAAATCTAAGACAAACACATCTGGTGGTTACTTGAAAATGAAATGTTTCATAAATTTGTCAAGCTAACCCTCAAAACAATACATATGTCAAACCTGTTGGTATTAAGACAGAGATGCATGCTTTAAGTTTTTGAACATATCCTTTTTCATTTTAACTAATTCTTACTATTCAGTCACAATTAAATTACAATTTGTCTTATTGACTAGAAAATTGTCATTTTGATGTGGAAGTTAAATCTTTTTGTCTGCACTATCACTATTTTCTGGATTATTCTTATTATTATCAATATTTGTCACTACAATCTTCACATGCATCATAGTCACTTTCTTTTTGGTCGACTTCCCATACCAGGCATTCCTCAGACATTTTATGGCTCCCTGAAAGTTTTGTGTGTTGAATTTACATTTGTTGTTCATATGACCCTACTTATGAACATTCCCTTCAGTTACAACAGGTTTTCTTTCTGCCATGCTCATTTGTTGCCTCTAATTTTTTAACAACCATTGAAATTCACATCATTTAAGGTTTGAGCAATTGAGTTGTGAACTGCAAATGCAGATTTCTGTACCTCAACAAAATCGCAGCCATGATTTTCATTCATTTTCTTATTGTGTTTCACTTTCTGCACAGCCATTTGTTTGAGATTCTCTCTTTACTGGCCCATTCAGTCATATTGGTCTGAATAACCTGGCAAATCCATGGAAGATGGAAAGAAAACATCTGTGAATGCAATTAGGTATTCTAGATAGGCACAGTAGTTTGACCACTTTTGCGACTTATTACTTCTGCATTAAAGTTTCTGAACATTAAAAGACAATAAAAAAACAATAGATCCCAACTGATAAAAATTTCATTTTATGGTTGGATCTTTCAAATGATCTGCAAATTTGTATTGATAGAAGGTAATCCAAATGCTAACAATACAAAGGAATGCAATAATTGGAAAGGTTTTCATAAAACAGTACCTCTGGTAATTGAATATTCATTCTTCAGTCACACATTATAAACATTTTTTTTTTTTTGAACTCCTGCATGGAAACTATATTTCCCTTCACTCTCTAGATCACATAAATCTGATGTGTCATAATCAGAGAATAAAAATATGTTCAAGTATTTTAATGTTCAGCAAGTTTTGTTTAGTGAAGTATTCAGTGACTAGCAATTTTTTTAAAAATGGCACTTCTTTCAGACTTGAGACATGCAGTCACAATTCAAATTCTCAAAGATTTATACCACTTAATTAATAGTACGATTAGCTTGGTTAAGGACATCTAGACAAACTTACAAATACATAAAACATTTAGTACTACATTCCTCTCATTACTTCATGACATGTGGATTTTAAGTGATGTAATTTATTTTCAATACACTTTATTATAGTGTATTATATTGATTTGAAAGAAGTTACACGTTTAAAAAAATACTTTGAAATACATTTACAAAAGTGATGTACAGCTAGTTACATTACACTGGCATAAAAAATATAGCATTCTTCAATGGCATCTCTTTGAAACTCACAAAACAGACATACAGTAAAACCCCGTTTTTACGTTCCTGCATTTTACGTAACTTTTCGGTTGGTCCCGTTGAAAAGCCTATATTTACAATGCATTCTCTTCCCGGAATTTACAACTTGATATGAAGAGTGCTTACACATCTTTTATGTCTTTATTTAAAATTTACTTTATTTTATTTTTTTACTTTCTCGTATATGTAAGTTTTATACCTAGTGCTCAGAAAGTTATGTAATGCTACGGCAAAAAAATGGTGATTTTTCGACAGAAAAGCTCGTACCGATACTGAAAAAGTGGATAAATCCTGTTTCAATATGTACTACATATATATGTAATGAACTCGCAAAAGTCTCCCGTTCGTTCAGATCAATTGAGAAATATCAATTTTAGAGAAAATCGGCAGGTGGTTTAGACGCTCGTGTTAACTGCCGTCAATTGATTTTGCTGTTTCAAGGGCCTATAAAACGGATTCAGGCTGCATCACGTGTTAGAGGAAGTAATTTACTATATATAGGAATATGATTTACCCACTTTTTTATTACCAGGGCACGTCAATAGGAGATTTTCTGATGAAAATCGCTGATTCTTGCACATGCTTCTACTCATCTAATCTATCATTTTTCAACTTCCCTGTATTTAAAACTTTCCTGCATTTTACACTTTTTTTCATCGGTCCCCTGAAAAGTGTAAAAGAGGGGTTTTACTGTATTTACATTTCCAGGAGTGCAAACACAAACAGTGCAGGAAAATTTTCATTAAAATTGACTGTTAGCAAGAAAATTGTTCCATGTTGCTGCAGAGTGTAGAAACATTGAATACTCAAAGTCAACAGATGTAAAATATCAAAATTGTGCTGCCATGCAAACTGAGATTTCTAATGTGCAAATGAAATTCTTAAATTCATTTAATGCATTTTCATAAACCAACAGAAACAAATACAAAAAATAAGATAAAAGTGCTGATGTAATAAGAGAACAGGTAATACATAACACATTGAGACATGATACAAAATTACTTACAATAAGTTAATTTTGACTGGCTTCCTATGCAATTCATTCATAGATTGAACTACACAGAAAAATTTCACTGTCATTGACACTCTCATTATTGGAACTACAGTTCAGTAATATTCCTTCACTGTAAAAACTAGAACAGTGAAGAATTCCAATATTTCTTAATGCGGAATAAGAACCAAGGAGCTCATTGAATTTTCTTTGTCAAGGAGATCTAACGGTGCTAAATATATGTATTTAGTGCGTAAGAACACTATAGTAAAACACAGTACTAAGTTCCAAACCAGCTTCATGGCAGCAATTCTGTAGAACTTTTATCTATATCACAACAATGAAACCCCAATTACAGTGAATGGGGAGTTATATTACAATACAAAAACAGATGTATTTATGAGTACATGTGTCTGTGTAACAACATTTGAACCAATAATTGAGTGGTTGCTCTCAAATTTGGCACAGACACTGGAGTAGCTGAGAAAACAAACAATCAAGGGTTTTGCAATCCCAAAATGTTTCCACAAAATTTGGATACATTTCCGATTTTATTTTTATGGAAACAATGCAACCTGCTACTAGTTGGCAGCAGCACTATTGCCAGGCAATTCTAAAGTAGGCTGGACAGTCAAAGTGAGACAGAGCGAGGAAAAGACAGCAGAACAAGGCAGCAGGGTGACGGGATGGAGGTGATGTACATTTCAGTTCTGGAAAAAATTCTTATTAAAATTATAAACTTCCATATTTATAACAAAATTTGAAAATACAAGAAGACTTTGAGAATATTAAAATGATTGTAGAGTCTTTATCACAGTTTCGGCAAACTCTGCCACAGTGTCGCAATATGCCCTCTCAGCCAAATGGCAAAGGTGAAGACTAATGATGTTGAAAAAGTAATATATTCGTTGAATGGTGCTGACTGCTTTTTCAGCAGTTGACTCATAAAAAACTCCAAACTACAGCGTTGGTTGGGGACTGCATGCAGTCCAGATGCCAAGGATGATGTCAATCCTAAAGTTATTTCTCCCGAAGTGTACACAGGATTCTGAAGTTGTATGTAAGACGACTACATAAAATACTAGTAAAAATGCAAGCTTCCGCCTTTCAACAGAAAAGTGGATGAAATCATGGCACATTTAACACCAGTTAAGTGCCTACCCGCAGATTCAATAGAGATAAAATATCAGTATTTAGAAGACAAACACTATTCATTGGGTATTCACATACACATTCCTTTACACATGACAAAATATACTGTACACCACATGCTACACTGATCACGAGACTGACATCAAAACTTCTCTTCACAAGGACACTTTACGACAAAAGAATGTATAGGAAACCCCAATGCAGTCTAAGAACATATCACTTTCTGGTAGATTAAAAGTCCCAGCACTTCACTTTGAAAGGAAGTAAAGCGAGAGATCTCTGAACAGATCATCTTTGCTATGAAGGCAAAATGGTGTCGAAAATCACACAGAGACAAGTAATGTTGGTGTAGAGGCATCTGAAGCTCAGAACCCCTGCCCAAAAGCACCTTTAGAGAACCATCTCATGCACATCAAAAGGCACTGGAGGTGCTCCCATGTCCTTCGCAGCACTTTCGTTCTTCATAACATCTTCCTCGCCAACCACTGACCCTTCCCTCACGCCTAGCAAAGGGAACTCATTGATGGGTCCCGGGAACAGGGTGAAACCCATTGACATGTTTTCACTTTGGCTCTCCTGCAACATAAGCAGCAAATTATTAGCATAGTATGATAGTACTATTACGCCAGTGAACAATTTTTTTGATTAGTCCTACTATGTGTTTTAATGAAAATGAAGTAGCTCCATGCAAAACATTATTTTGCCAGCTAGATTAGCGGAACCCCCTGCTGGTAATTCTCCATGAAAGGACCGTCAGTAAAGGGTTCAGAATCGAAACTTATTATCCTTTACACTGCCAAGAGATGTTGAAATCTGCTACACTGTTCACAGCAAAACTACCACAGGCTGATCAGAGCTGATGATTGTATATGAAGTTTTAATTTCTATTTTCTGTAATGGTTCACTTGGCATGACTCTTGTATTGTTGGTTAAGGTTTTAACTGATAAGTTTTAAACAAAACACATTCTTCTTGTGAATTTGAAGCCACAAGGGATATTTTAGGCAGTTGTGGCACCTGATGAGTCAATATAACTAGGGCTCAAAACTCCATTTTTTCATTTATAAATTATTAATAAATTTCATTATTATTAGTACATAAGAAGTTATAAAACAATCACTGAGAGACAGTCAGCTTATGTTATTTTGAGAAAACAAACAAAACAAAGCAAATTACACTGACCAAAAATCTGTTTTAAAATTAAAAAGTATAAAAGAATTTTGAAAACATTGTATTAATTGTTTTTCTAAAACAGCAATATAATTCTATCTTAAACCCTAGACAGATTGAGAGTACATTATGTTTCAACTCTCACCAAAAAATGATTTGAAGATATTGTAAAAATGAGGGTGATTGAAGAGTAAAAAATATATCAGCATTATCCTCAAATATCCTGTGAGAGTTTCAGTATTAATTCTGTTGCCATTAGAAAGAATGAATATTACTCTATAGTAAATTATAAGCTATAAGACAAAATTAGAGTATTTAGTTTTTACTAACCTCTTTGTTGATTTGTGTAAATCTCGTGCGCCTAGAACCCAGCGGCGTTACAGGAAGCTCTTCATCCAACATGTGTTTAGCATTTGCCGTTTTCATGGCGCCTTTCAGGCGCTTTCCATGCTGGCGGTATGCAGACATAGGACCAGGACACCAGCAATATTTCAGGTATGCTTTTGCTGCAAATAAGAAAGAAGTATGTGGAATACAATATCCTTTAAAACGCACACAAGAGGGAGGTGATTATTTCGGTCAAATTGGAAATTTTTCCATCACCCTTGTTTGTTTGTTAATGCCTTATTTTACTTGGTGATACTCAGGCCATCAAGCCCACTATTTCGTCTGACCATGCAAATTTTGCTACACTCCTTTCACCATCAAGCAAAGAAAGGAGGTATTATCTCAGGTGATGAAACAGACAATTTTGAATTTAACTCAGAAGCTTCTATTAGGCTTGAGGTTTTTTTTACATGCAATAAATCTACTACATGAGCCCGCCGGCTTTACTTCCCTTCATCTTTTCAACACTGATTATATTTTACGATTAGAGGAAGAATGTTTCAGTGTTCTTGGCTGTAGTTTTGGTCCAGAGATCTTGTGTGGTACACACAAGAGACACTATTTTGCCGAGACACTTGGTGCAATTCTAATCCAAATGCAATTGCGTACTAAATGGTGATTATTGTCCTTTGATGCAAGCAAAGAAATTTTAAAAAATGGTACTTTCTGAAACATCGTATTAGACACATTGAAGATCATCACTTATAGAAAATTCTATTGCTTAAGATATACAGAGAAATGTGCTAATGATACCAATTCTGCTGCAACTGACTGATTTTTCTTCCATTACAGCAATGTCAGATTTAATCAGGTCCTCATCAAACATTTAATGACAACATGGGTTGAGCATGATATGGAAATTCATACAGAGCAAGCAAAAATTAATTACATTGTGAGATCTTTTAATGTTGTATTGACTGTTGTTAAACAATTCACATCATTAGGATTGTCATCAAGTTCTGTGCGAATTAATTACTAATTTAACTGGATAAATTTAGCTATTTTTCACAATAATAAAGGTTATATAAGTTACTATTGTTGAAAAATATTATTTATACTAATAGAATTACCAAGAAAGCTTATACCATTGCAACATTAGATTTCTTCAATATATCAATATCAAAATTTAAAGTACAATTAAAACAGCGATCAGGCTTTTATTTCCAATCCCATACTTTCTAGGATGTGATATTTACTGATAATTTGATCACACTAATTTTAAGTACATGCTAATCTTTGGTAGTATATGGTTGTAAATCAATCATTTAAATAAAGTCTTAATTGTATTTTATTGTGTATTAATTTGATTTGTGTCAAATAATTTTGTTTTATTGTTTACTTTTGTTTGTTTAGTTTTGTTTTCTCTTTGGCCTTTACTTCATGTAATAAACTTTGTTTGTTTTGTACATGCATATTCTAAAGGCAATGATCTAAAATAATGAATAATATAATATAATATTTTTGGATTGAAAAATAATGGAGCTGAAACAGCACATACTTTCTTGGCCATGTTTTCAAGCAAAATTACATGACCATATTTAAAAATCTATCTTCAAGGAACGCATTTCATTAAGGAAAAAAAAATTGTAGTTTTAGGAAGATGCTGAAAAAATTTTGAACTTTGGCAATTTTTGCAAAAATCAGGATTTTCAAAGAGCATGAGCCCTGCGCCATTCTCTTAAAGTCCTTCACATTATCCAACAACAAAATATAACCAAAACTGATGGAGAAATTTTTTTGAAAATTTTGAAAATATCCCAGGGGCTTCATGAAACGTACCCCCAAAATTGAAATATCGGTTTTAAAATCTCGGGACCACGACATCCGCCATATCGTTTGAAGAATATCAATTTTGGAGAAAATCGTCTGAACGGTTAAGCCACTAGCGTTTTTCACAGACTGACGTTTTGCCGTCATTATATTTTTTGGTATCAAGAATCCACAAAACATGGATTCTGGATACACATGTGTTAGAGGATTTTTTCTTTAAATCTAGCAAATGGATTTATCCACTTTTTCGTTACCAGGGCACTACAATAAGACAATTCCTGTCAAAAATTCTTGTTTTTTTCATGCAGCGTTACATAACTTTCTCTCTACCCCGTAATGACAGGTGAAAATCACAACAAAACCAAAATTAAACTCACCCATCCACGTGAAAGGGGGCACCCAACAGTGAGGGTTGTAGAGGGACCACAGAAGCCAACTCAGCTCATCCGGGATTTTAAAACGCTGCACATCCAAAAGGCTGCTTGGAATGTTCTCTTTGGAGCAGTATGAGGGCACAGCCACCAAATAATAGCCTGGCCTGAAGCAACACACCAAAAAGGTACATATGAAATGAAGGGTTTGGGTGCAAAACATGGGAACTGAAATGTGTCATCTTCATAAAAGTTTTTCACATATTGCAAAATCACACTAATAATTCCAAGTGAGTGGTTGGCCATTTTTTTGGTGGTATTGTAAAATAAATGATATAAGTAAAAGTAAGAATAACAATCTTTTGGGGAGAACGAGCAGGAATTTTCTGTTTTCCTAATGAGGAGACAGAATGCGTGCAAAGTGCCTCAGAGAGCAGAACTTTTGAAGAGCAATGACTGTATGTCGAGAAACTACGAGAAACAGTGAAAGATTATGATGGTTAATACAAGGTCTATCCAAAAAGTAATAAAACTGGCTGCCATGCGGTGCTCCAGTTACCACCAGAGAGCTCTCAACGGGCGAAATCGGTTGTGGGGGGTTTTGCTTAGGCATTGCACCATGTGGCAGTCGCTTCTGACCAGCGAGGATTGACCGTTGTGCAAAGTGTGTTTTTTCATTTTGGTCACAGGTTAAAAAGCATAAAATGGAGTGTATGATAGAGCAACGATATGCCATCAAATTCTAGATTCTCTTGGGCAAAACTACTTCAGAGACTCTCACCTTGATTGAGCAGACCTATGGAAACAATACCACGTCAAAAGCTCAGGTTATGCCCTGGCATAAGGACTTGAAAGATGGGCAGGACAGAAATGAGGACAATGATCGATCTGAACGCCCTTCAACGAGTTCTTCAAATGAAAACGTTACAAATGTTAAAGAACTCTTGGACTCTGACTGCCAGTTGAGTTCGCGATTAATAGTGGAAGAACTAAACATGTGGAAATCAACGGTACACAAC